CAATGGTGAGCTCAGTGGGGCAACGAGCTAGGAAGTGGTCCCTGACAGCACGCAGTGTGTCAGGGAGGCGGGTGACTAGGTGGTAGAGAGTGAGCTAGAGTGGAGGGGGGTGCGTGGCAAGGAACTCAGCAGGCATGGCGGCACGGAAGCGGGCCTCACTAGTACGGAGGTGCGTGATGAGGTCAGCGACTGTGTGAAAGGAGGCCAGGTCGGGAAACAGGTAGGGGAGGGAGAGACGGCCTAGTGCGGCAGAGGCAGGTGAGGAGTAGCGAGCAACTACAGCTGTGTACAGTGCCTGTGCAGTCTTGTGCTGACCAAAGTGCTCTCGTTCGTCTATCGGCAGGGAGTTGCGAATGGCGAAGCGAGCATGGGCATCACGAGTCTGCCACTGTGAGCGAGCAGTGCTGTCAGCAGTAGCAGCAGGGGCAATGACATGGCCTAGGGCGTGATCGTACAGTGAGATGTCATCCTTGGCTGTGAGCTGTAGGTAGAGGTGCAGGTCATCGAGCCAGGTGTCAAACTTCACAGGGCGGCCCTCAGCATCGAACACGAGAACCTGTGGGCTAGCCATAGGAAGAGTAGAAATAGCAACAGTAGCAGTAGGAGAAGCAGGTAGGACGAACCAGGTAGGGTAGGGCGGCGTGGCTTGGTTCAGGTCGCGTCGCGGCTCGGCTGGGTGGCGCGGCTCGGTTCAGGGTGCGCGGCTCGGCTCGGGGCGCGCAGCTCGGCTCGGGGCGCGCGGCTCGGGTCACGGCGGGGATGGGCCGTCCGCTCTCCCTCGTGTGCTGCGGCGGGAACGGGCCGCCCGGGGCCTCTAGGTGGTGGGCACGGGTCGGCGAGGTCGGCACGGGGCCGGTTGGGGCCCTAGAGGGGCGAGCGCGGGGCCGATCGGGGCCTGAGCGGGGCTAGCGCGGGGCCAAACGGGGCCTTGATGGGGCTAGTAAGGGGCCAAAGGGGCCTGAACGGGGCTAGCGCGGGGCCGACGGGGCCTGAAACGGGGCCGACGGGGCCTGAAACGGGGCTAGCGTGGGCCCGATCGGGGCCTAAATGGGGCTAGCGCGGGGCCGACGGGGCTTGAGAGGGGCTAGCGCGGGGCCGACGGGGCCTGAAACGAGGCTAGCGCGGGCCGACGGGGCCTGAGAGGGGCTAGCGCGGGGCCGACGGGGCCTGAAACGGGGCCAACGGGGCCTGAAACGGGGCTAGCGCGGGCCGACGGGGCCAGAGAGGGGCTAGCGCGGGGCCGACGGGGCCTGAAACGGGGCTAGTGCGGGCCGACGGGGCCTGAGAGGGGCTAGCGCGGGGCCGACGGGGCCTGAAACGGGGCCGACGGGGCCTGAACGGGGCTAGCGCGGGGCCTGAACGGGGCCTTAAAGGGGCCGACGGGGCCTGAACGGGGCCGCTTGGGAGAGCGGGCGTGGGGCCGACGGTGCCTGAACGGGGCTAGCGCGGGGCCGTCAAGAGGGGCCTCTAGGGGCGTGACACGCCGAGGCGCCCTAGGGCACAGGTAGGTAGGTAGGTAGGTAGTTACGTAGTGGTGGGCCCTTAGAAAATTTCGGTCCTAGGAAGGACCTGCTCTATACCATGTTAGAAACACTGAACAGGAATGAATGAACTAGCAGTGAAATGAGTACAAGTACCTAACCCTAGAATTGTGTACCCCCTATAGGCTAACCCACTGTAGCCTAAACTAACACAACATATATAATGTTTGACACAGCGGTCGTCACAGGGTTACACCTTCAGCCTTGGCTCTGGTTCAGTTTCTTGGCGTTCTACTTGCTCGTCTTCAGTTCTCAGCTCCAGTTGTGAGGCTGAGATCTACGCCACAGCCATGGCTGCACAGGAGCTACGCTGGCTGACCTACCTGCTGACCGACTTGGGAGAGCGGCCTAGTTCTCCTCCTGTGCTGTACGTTGACAACAAGGCTGCCATTGCCTTGTGTGAGGAGCACAGACTGGAGCACAGAACGAAGCACATCTCTCTCCGTTACTTCCTGGCTCGAGAGCTGCAGCATCGCGGTCAGCTTCTTCTGCGTTACGTGGCCACTCAGGCCAACACTACTGATATATTCACCAAGGCACTTCAGCCTGGTGATCATCAGCGCTTCTGCACTATGCTGGGGCTTGTGCCCACTTTTCCTCACTTGCTGTAGGTTTTGTCTGTACTGTGATCTCTATATATACACACCTGCCTGTTTGCTTTGCTAGGTTGAGATCACCTTGTTGTTTGTGTTGCATGTATGCCTCGGCATGTGAACTGGCCCTGTGGCCCTTTGCTTGTGCTCAGAGTGTGTGGTGAAGTTGTGATCCACCCTGAGCTTGCTTTGCCTTTCTTGACTGGTCTTGTGACCCCTTGCTCTCCCCCACTTTGCCTATGGGGGTGTGTCAAACATTATATATATGTTATTTCTGTGTAGGCTATAGTGGGTTAACCTTTAGGGGGTACACAACTCTATGGTTTCATACTTGTACTGCAATGTTTCATAGTTCAATCACTTCTTGTTTCTGACACATATTACTAGGACGTGATTGGCTGCAATGCTACAACCCACGAATTGACTGGACGATGGGTAGCTGCACTATGCGAAGTAGTGGTAACTCGGTTGAACTACCTCGCTGGCGGTCACCAGAGTCTTCAACGGTCCACGTCAACGCATCACGATGAAACGGGTTGTCGCCGCTGGAGCTGACGTGTACATGGTGGATATCACATTGGTGGGAGAAGCAGAACAGCCGAGTGGTTTTCAGAAACTGCTGGCAGCTGTACCACCCGAGCTAAAGGAATTACTAAAACGGTACACGGGGATCTTTCCGGACGACTTACCGGAGGAACTGCCACCTCAGCGAGCACATGTTCACCGCATAGAACTAGAACCGGGGGCACTGCCAACCTTACAGCGACACTTCAGACTGACACAGCCCGAGCTCGACGAACTGAGGAAGCAGTTAGATTACCTATTAGACAAGAAAAACATCCGATCGAGCTCGTCACCGTTCGCCGCACCGATACTGTTCACACCAAAAATAGACGGGGGGTTTCGCATGTGTATCGACTACTGTGCACTAAACAAGGTAATAGTCAAGTCACGATATCCCATCCCTTGCGCTGACGAATTGATAGATCAACTGCGGATAGCACGGGTTTTTTTCGAAAATCGACTTACGGGGAGGTTACGATCAGATAAGAATCGAACCATCGGACTGGGCTAAAACAACTTTCAGAACTAGATACGGATCATTCGAATACACCGTGATGCCATGTCGGCTGACCAACGCACCGGCGACTTTCCTAATGACCATGAACGTGTCAAGTTTATATATTATGGTCTATCTAGGCTATAGTGGGGTAGATACTATAGGGTACAACATTTCTAGGTTTCCTACTTGTACCCACATTTCACCTAGTCATTTCATTCCTCGTTCTCATATGGTATAGAGCAGGTTCCCTAGTGGGAACGTTTCCTAGGGCCCACCACTGAAAATCAGAATTTTGTTTTTCCTGCCCGGAGCGCGCGTCACCCCTACTCGAGGCGCGCCCCGTGTGCCGCCCTCCCGTCGCGTCCCCTGCCCTTAGCGGCGCCCTCTTAGCGGCCCCTCTCGCGGCCCTCCCGTCGCGCCCTCTTAGCGGCCCCTCTCGCGGCCCCTTAGCGGCCCCTTTGCGGCCCCGTCGCCACCCTTAGCGGCCCCGTCGCCGCCCTTAGCGGCCCCGTCGCCGCCCTTCGCGGCCCCGTCGCCGCCCTTAGCGGCCCCGTCGCCGTCCTTAGCGGCCCCGTCGCAGCCCTTAGCGGCCCCGCCGACGCCCTTCGCGGCCCCGTCTCCGCCCTTAGCGGCCCCGTCGCCGCCCTTAGCGGCCCCGTCTCCGCCCTTCGAGGCCCCGTCGCCGCCCTTAGCAGCCCCGTCGTCGCCCTTAGCGGCCCTTCGCGGCCCCTCTCAGCCCCTTCCGGCCCTTCGCGGTCCCGTCGCCGCTTTTCGCGGCCCCGTCGCCGCCCCTCTCGGCCCCTCGCGGACGCTTTAGCGGCACCGTCCCCACCCTTCGCGGCCCCGTCGCCGCCCCTCTCGGCCCCGTCGCCGTCCTTCTCGGCCCCCCCCCCCTCTTCACAGCCCTGCCGCAGCCGCCGCCGCCGCCGCCGACAGGAGCAGCAGCCGCCGCAGCTGCCGTGACAGCCGCCCCCGCCAGTGCCGAGGCTGCAGCCGCAGTCACCGCCTATAGCAGCAGCTGCCGCCGCCGCCGTCCTGACCGCTGCCGCCGCCGCTGCCGGGACCGCAGCCGCCGCCGTCGTCGACAGCAGCCACCGCCGCTGTCGCCAGCAGCCGCCGCCGCCGCTACAAAGGCCGCAGCCGCCGTCGACGCCGCTGACACCGCTGTCGCGGCCCTGTCCCTGCCAGCGTGCCTCGGCCCTGCCCCTCACCACCTGCGGGCCTCTACCCACCCGCCTTGGTAAGAGCACTCCCGAGAAGCGCCTCTTTTACTGAGCTGCCCCTAGCCTGCTGCTCTTACTACTAGCATGCTGCTGCCGCTGCTCTCATGGCTACCCCTAGTGTTCTTACCTTTGATGCTGAGGGTCGGGATGTCGACTTTGAGGTCTAGGTTGATGATCTCCAGCTTTTCCTACAGTGCGATAGAACAGACGGTCTCTCCCTCTTTGACCTCACGTCTGGTGCCTCTCCTACCCCTACTGCTGATACTGACAGCACTATTCCCTCACAGTGGGCCACACTCGATGCTGCTGCCCGTCTAGCTGTGCGTCGTCACTTACCGACCACTGAGCGTCTGCATTTTAGTCAGTACAAGAGAGCTAAGACCTTGTACGATGCTGTAGTCGCCCACTACCCTTCCCCTGCCACTGCTGCCCTTAGCCGCCTCATGCTTCCGTACCTGTTCCCTGACCTCACTGCCTTTCCCACAGTCGCTGACCTCATTACGCACCTTCGCACTAGTGACACCCGCTACCGCGCTGCGCTCCCTGCTGAGTTCTGCGCCAAGAACCCCCCCCCCCCCCCATGTACATCACCCTCTACTACATAGTCACCCGGCTCCCTGACTCCCTTCGCTCGGTCAGGGACCACTTCCTCTCTGTTTGCCCCACCACGCTCACCGTTGACCTCCTCGAGGAGCGCCTCCTGGCAGCTGAGAAGAGTGTAGTCGATGTAGGAGCCTCTCGTGGTGACCCTCGTACCCCCTTCTTTGAGGGGTGCTCCCCCTCCCCACTTTTGCCCTCTGTTGCATCTTCTGCTGCGGTCGACTTCGTTGGCACCAATTCGGTCGGCGCTGCGTCTGCTTTTAGTGGGAGACGCCGCACAGGCAAGGGCAAAGGGAACAAGGGCGCTGGAAAGGCTGGCGGGGGCAGTGGAGGTGGCGGTGGAGGCGGCGGAGGTGGTGGGGGTGGCGGTGGGAGTGGTGGTGGGGTTGGGGGCGTCGGTGGCGGCGGTGGTGGCGGATGCGGTGGCGGCGGTGGCAGTGGGAGCAGAGGAGGCGGCGGTAGCGGCGGAAGCGGAGGTGGCGGCAGCGGCGGTGGAGGAGGCCGGGGTGGCTACGCGCAGTGAGGCGGCTTCGGTGGTGGTCAGCGCCAGCAGCAGCAGGGCACTCATGAGACCCCGCCCCCCCAGCAGCTTCGTGAGTGGTACGCTATGCGTCAGCCGGGTGGGGGTGCTGGTCCCTGTGCCTACGTCCTGCGTACCGGCGACCGCATTGGTGAGACGTGCGATGGCCCGCACACCACCCAGCACTGCTTCGGCCGCCTGACGGACGCTTGGCATCTCCAGTTCCCTGACGCCAGTGAGATCCCTTGCTGGGGTGAGTTCTTTAGGTCGGGGATTGCTATCTTTGATCTTGATTATGATGCTATTCTTGCTGCCATTTATGTTGTGTCTACTAGTGATGGGGGTGACTGTTACCTGTGTGTCCCGCCTGACCTAGGCATTGAGGCTGCTGCTCTAGGTGCTGGTGAGGTTGCTCTTCCAGGTGCTAGTGCGTCTGCTGCCCCAGGTGCTGGTGAGTCAGGTACCACGTCGGCTCAGGCCTACCACACCTTCACCCTTGACTCGGGTGCTTCCCGCTCCTTCTTTCGAGACCGCACCACACTCACGCCGCTTCGTCGGCCAGTGGCGGTCTCTCTGGCAGACCCCTCTGGGGTTCCTGTCCTTGCCCACTTCTCCACTGTCTTACCATGTCCGGCGGCCCCTTCTGGCACCCTGTCAAGTCTTCACCTCCCCTCGTTCTCTACGAACTTGGTGAGTGGTGCCAGACATTCACGCTTCCGGCCTCTCCACAGCAAAATGGGATTGCTGAGCACCGCATTGGCATGGTCATGGATGTCGCTCGTACGTCCATGATCCATGCGGCTGCTCCCCATTTTCTGTGGCCATTCTCGGTTCAGTACGCAGCGCATCAGATCAACCTTCAGCCCCGGGTCTCCATGCTGGAAACCTCCCCTGCTCTTTGTTGGACGGGGAAGGTTGGCGATGCGTCTGCGTTCCGTGTCTCGGGATCTCGGGCGTTTGTTCGCGACTTGTCTGCGGACAAGCTGTCCCCCCGTAGTGTTCCCTGCGTCTTCCTTGGCTTCCCCCCTAACGCGCCTGGTTGGCAGTTTTACCACCCCACCTCGCGCCGTGTTCTGTCCTCCCAGGACGTCACGTTTGACGAGTCGATTCCCTACTACCGTCTCTTCCCCTACCGCACTGCACCCCTCCCCCCGCCGCCGCTCTTCCTTGCGCCAGGTCACCCCCCGGTAGGCCCCCTCCCCCCTCAGGGTTCTGCCCCCTCAGGTGTGTCCCAGGTAGACACAGTCAAGCCTGTCGAGGTAGCTGTTGACTCTGGTGCTACTGGTGGTGCTGAGCCTGCGGGTGCGGGGTCTGGGGGTGCTGAGCCTGGGGGTGCTGACTCTGGGGGTACTGAGCCTGGGGGTGCTGACTCTGGGGGTGCTGAGACTTGGGGTGCTAAGCTTGGGGGTGCTGAGACTGGGGGTGCGGAGCCTGAGGGTGCTGGGCCTGCTCGTATGGAGTTTGGCGGTACTGGGTGTGGATGTCCTTCGGGTGCTTCGTCCCAGCTGGAGCTACTCTCTCCACAGGAGCTGCGCGAGTGGTTTGCTCAGCGTTGGAGCCGTGCTGCTGGTGTTGGAGGTTCTACTGCTGCTGAGGGTGCTGGTGCCACGGGTCCCGCAGGTGCTCGTACTAGAGGTACTGGAGCTGCAAGGCCTGGGGGTGCTCCTTGTGTTGGAGCTGCTGATAGTGCTAAAGCTGGCGGTGCTGCTGGAGTAGGTGCTGCTGGAGGTGCTGGAGTTGGAGCTACTACGTCTTCTGGTGGTCCGGCTGGGAGTGTTGGCACTGGGGGTGCTGCTGGTCCTGGTGCTTCTGAGGGTGCTGGTGTTGGCGCTGCTGAAGCTGGGGGTTCTGCTGGAGCTGGTGCTGCCGTTGGGGGTGGTGGTGCTGTTCTTGCTGGTTCTGGAGTCGCTGCGCGGCCGCGCCCGTACATCATTCCGCTCCTTGAGCACGTTCTTGGTCTTCCGTCCTCTCTTGGTCTTGCTCCTCCCTTAGAGTGTCCGCCGCCTGTTTAGTCTGAGTCACAGTTACAGCCAGCCTCCCCTCTGCCTGCTCCTTCTCCCTACGCGGGTCCTACTGGAGGTCTAGCTGAGCATTGTGAGCCAGCGTCTCGTCCTACGTCGCCTGTCCGTGCTGCTCGCACTGATCGTCGTGGTTCGCGTCAGCGTCCACCTCCTGTCCCTGGTACGCACCGGATGTCTCTGCGTCCTTCCACTGCTCCGCTGCGTGTCCCTTTGCCATCTCCTCCAAAGTCCTCTCTTCCTGCTCTTGGTGACTCGTAGTCGGAATCCCTTCGTGTTGCCACTCCTATTGTCAAGCGTCTCCTTGCTACTGTTGTCACTGACCCTTCCTTTGAGTCCACTGCTGCGTCTGCCTTGGTTGCTGAGCTTGTCGACTTCACTGCTCGATGTCGTCTGGACTACGCCGCTAGTCTTGTTGCTGAGTATGAGTCTGTCTGTCCTCCGTCCGTCGGGGGTGAGTGTGCTCTTGGCACGGACGTCCTTGAGGACAGGCAGGAGGAGGTCCAGTGCTTTGCTGCTGCTTAACCTCATCTCGTGTCCATGCTGATTGCCCCTGAGGGAGACCCGGATCCACCAGACATCACGACTCCGCGCTCTTACGCAGAGGCGATAGAGGGTCCCTACTCCTCTCAGTGGCAAGCAGCCATGGACGCAGAGATTGCTTCCTGGAAGTCCACAGGCACCTACGTTGACGAGGTTCCCCCACATGGGGCGAACTTCGTCAGTGGCATGTGGATTTTCATGGTGAAGCGGGCGCCGGGTTCTCCGCCTGTCTTCAAGGCACATTACGTGGCTCAAGGCTTCAGTCAGCGGCAAGGAGTTGACTACTTTCAGACGTTCTCTCCCACCCCGAAGATGACCACTCTTCGGGTGCTACTGCACATAGCCGCTCACCGCGACTACGAGCTTCACTCTCTTGAATTCAGCACTGCTTTCCTACAGGGCAGCCTGCACGAGGAGATCTGGCTGCGCCGCCCACCTGGCTTCACTGGGTCGTTTCCTCCTGGTACCCAGTCGAGCCTCCGACGGCCCCGCCGCCCTACTCAGCAGCCCCGCCGCCCTACTCCTGCGGCCCCGCCGCCCTACTCAGCGGCCCCGCCGCCCTACTCAGCGGCCCCGCCACCCTTCTCCTGTGGCCCCGCCGCCCTACTCAGCGGCCCCGCCGCCCTTCTCCTGCGGCCCCGCCGCCCTTCTCTGCGGCCCCGCCGCCTCTCCCGCTGCGTCCCCGCCACCTACCTTGCGGCCCCGCCGCCCTTCACCGCCCGCTCCGCCCGTGCCGCCCGAGCCGCCTGAGCCGCCTGAGGAGCCGAGCCGCCCGAGCCGCCTGAGCCGCCCGAGCTGCCCGACCCTGCTGAGCCGCTCGAGCCGCCTGAGCCGCAGAGGAGCCGAGCCGCCCGAGCCGCCCAAGCCGCCCGAGCCGCCCGAGCCGCCTGAGGAGCCGAGCCGCTGGTACCGCGGAGCCGCAGTTGCTGCTGAGCCGTCCGAGCAGCAGTGTTGCCGTGTTGCTGTGCTGCTCACCTGCCCGACACGCCCTGTCTGGTGAGAACAGCGCTTCTGTCACTGCACTGCCCCTGTCCTACAGTTGGTACTGCTAGTCTACTTTTGTCATGGCTACCCTAGTATCCTCGCTTTTGACGCTGAGGGTCGAGCCATTGACTTTGAGGTCTGGGTCGACGACCTGTAGCTGTACTTACAGTGCGATAGGGCAGACGGTCTCTCTCTCTTTGACCTCACCTCTGGCGCCTCTCCTGCCCCTGCTGCTGATGCTGACCCCACTGTTCGCTCCCAGTGGGCCACGCGCGATGCTGCTGCACGTCTTGCTGTGCGTCGCCACCTGCCTACCGCTGAGCGCACGCACTTTAGTCGGTACAAGAGTGCTCAGACCTTGTACGACGTTGTAGTTGCGCGCTACTCTTCCCCTGCCACTGCTGCACTGAGCCGCCTCATGCTACCCTTCCTCTTCCCTGACCTTGCTGCCTTTCCCACAGTTGCTAACCTCATTACGCACCTCCGCACTAGTGACACTCGCTACCGCGCCGCGCTTCCTGCTGAGTTCTGCGCCAAGAACCCCCCCCCCCCCCCCCCCCCCCATGTACATCACTCTCTATTTTATAGTCACCCGCCTCCCTGACTCCCTTCGTGTAGTCAGGGACCACTTCCTCTCGGTCTGTCCCACCACTCTCACTGTTGACCTCTTAGAGAAGGCCCTCCTAGCAGCGGAGAAGAGCATCGTCGCTAAAGGAGCCTCTCGTGATGACCCTCGCAACCCCATCTTTGAGGGGTGTTCTCCTTCCCCCCTTTTGCCCTCTGTCGCCTCTGCCGCTGCGGCCGACCTCGTTGGTCTTGAGTCGGTCGGTGCGGCGTCTGCCCCTAGCGGGAGACGTTGCTCTGGCAAGGGCAAGGGGGGCAAGGGCGCGGGTGGAGCTAGCGGGGGCGGTGGAGGTGGCGGTGGAGGCGGCGGAGGGAGTGGGGGTGGCGGTGGGAGTGGTGGCGGGAGTGGAGGTGTCGGTGGCAGCGGTGGAGGCGGAGGCGGCGGAGGCTGCGGCGGTCCTAGCGGAGGCGGCGGTGGGGGCGGAGGTGGAGGAGGCGGTGGAGGAGGAGGTGGAGGTGGTCGGGGTGGTGCTTCACAGCGGAGCAGCACTGGTGGTGGTCAGCGCCAGCAGCAGCAGCAGCAGCGTTCTCGGGACATCCCCCCCCCCTCAGCAGCTCCGTGAGTGGTACACGCAGCGTCAGCGTGGTGGGGGTTTGGTCCCTGCACCTACGTCCTTCGCACCGGCGACCGCGCGGGTGAGCAGTGTGGGGGTGCCCACCCCACCCAGCGCTGCTTTGGCCGCCTGACGGACGCTTGGCGTCAGCAGTTCCTGGAGGCCAGTAAGATCCCCCGCTGTGGAGAGCTGTCTAGGGCAGGCGTAGCTATCTATGATCTTGACTTTGAAACTATCCTTGCTGCCATATATGCTGTGACTATTAGTGATGAGGGTGACTGTTACCGGTGTTTCCCGCCCGACCCGGGCATTGGTACTGCTGCTCTAGGTGCTGGTGAGGCTGCTGCTCTAGGTGCCAGTGCGTCTGCGCCCTCAGGTACTGGTGAGTCTGCGCTCTCAGGTACTACGTCGGCTTCGGCCTCCCTCACCTTCACCCTTGACTCTGGGGCTTCTCGCTCCTTCTTTCGGGACCGCACCACGCTCACGCCGCTTAGTCGGCCGGTTGCGGTGTCTCTGGCTGACCCCTCTGGGGGCCCTGTCCTGTCTCGCTTCTCCACAGTCCTCCCGTGTCCGGCGGCTCCCTCTGGCACCCTGTCTGGTCTCTACCTCCCCTCGTTCTCCACGAACATGGTGAGTGGTGCTGACCTACAGGATGCGGGTGTCCACCAGTTCACTCCTGCGCGCCAGCGGGTGACGCACTGCACCGAGGCTAGCACAGGCCGACACCTGGCTACGTTTACCCGTCAGCCGGGGTCGAGCTTGTACAAACTGACCACTGCGTCTCCTCCCGTTGCTGAGTCTGGTAGGGTAGCTGCGTCGGGTCAGGTGTTTGCTGCAGCGTCCAGGTCTGGTCCTGAGTCTGCCCCCTGTTCGTGTAGTCTCCTGTCTCACGAGACTCTCCTCTGGCACCACCGCCTTGGTTACCCCTCTCTGCTTCGGCTCAGAGGCATGGCCTCCCGTCTTCTTGTGTCTGGTCTGCCCCTATCCCTCCCTCCCCTTCCTCAGGGCCCTGGCCCTGCCTGTGTCCCCTGTGTCGAGGGGCGCCAGCGTGCTGCACCTCACTCCTCCCAGTTTCCTCCGACAGAGGCCCCATTGCAGACGCTTCACATGGACGTGTGGGGCCCAGCCCGCGTCCGTGGACAGGGTCACGAGCGCTACTTCCTGCTCGTTGTTGACGACTACTCGCGTTACACCTCAGTCTTCCCCTTGCGCAGCAAGGATGATGTCACTGAGGTGCTGATCGACTGGATCCGCGCAGCTCGTCTCCAGCTCAGGCAGAGCTTTGGCTCGGTCTTTCCTGTTCTGCGTCTGCACTCGGACAGAGGCGGAGAGTTCTCCTCTGGCCTTCTGCGAGCCTACTGTCGTGCACGAGGCATCCGTCAGACCTTCACGCTTCCGGACTCTCCGCAGCAAAATGGGATTGCTGAGCGCCGCATGGGCATGGTCATGGACGTCGCTCGTACGTCTATGATGCATGCGGCTGCCCCCCATTTTCTGTGGCCGTTTGCGGTCAGGT